CCCGCCCCCTGTGCTCTTTACTGCCGGAGCTCCACTCCTGTGCGCTCCTGCAGGAAATGACCCCTGAACTCCAGGCCCCACCTGGAGGTTGGCAACCCTACCCAAAGCCACAGAGGACAACCCCATCCCATAGTCACCTGAAGCTGCCCTTATGCTCAACTGGTCGGTCAGGGTCTACTCCAGGTGCCCCGAACACGAAAAGAGAAAGGCTCTGGCCTTGCTGTGTAAATGGATTCTATTGCTTGCGTGCTCCGAAATGTAGGAATTTATTTCCTGCTCGCTCCTTCAGCCTGGTCACCAGGGCAGAGACAAGGGATGCCTTCCCATCTCCGCAGCCGCGGGGGACACAATTCCCTGCAACGCAAGGGCCGCCCTGTCCTTGGGGCTGGCTTCGCAGCTCTGGGTTGGGAAATCCCTGGAGATGTGAGGGCAGCCCCTGTGGAGGGTCGAGTCCCCTTTGCAAAGCTGCCATTCTCTGCAGAGGATCTGATTTTTGTAGCTTGGGGAGCAGTTGTAATTCCTGGAGACCTCCAGGAGTCACCTGGAGGCTTTGTGGTGGAGTTTGGGGAGGGTCAGGGCCAACGCTCCCTCTCAGCGGTGGAGTCCTGTGAGCAAAAATTCTACTCGGTGAGCTGCTGGCATTCAAGTGGTGAGCGAGCGGTTTGGCTGCTGCATGAATCAGTTTGCTCTGGAGCCCCATCCCTTCCTGAGCGGAGACAGAAGTGTGTGCGCCGGAGGCTAAAAAACTGGGAGCTAGCTCACACTGACTCAGCTCAGAGGGAACACTGGCCGAGTCTGGGGAGGGAGCTTAGTGGGTGACCACTGCGGAGAGCCCGCCCTCCAAAGCAGCCATGTTCAACAGGAGAACTGATCCCCATAGCCTGGGGGATCAATTGTCAATCCTGGAGTTATCCAGGCCCCACCTGGAGGTTGGCAGCAATGTTCCCTCTAAGCTGTGGAGTCTTGTGAGCAAAATTTCTACTTTGTGAGCCGCTGGCATTAAAGTTGTGAGCAAAGCATTTGGATACTACATAAATCAGTTTGCTCTGGAGCCCTCCTTCCTGAGCGAAGACAAAAAGGTGTGAGCTGGAGGCTAAAGAACTGTGAGCTAGCTCACACTAACTCAGCTTAGAGGGAACACTGGTTGGCAGTCCAGCATTGGCCCCCTGGCAGCAGTGCTGATTCTGTGAACTCGGGCAGATCATGAGGAGGGAGGGCAGGGAGGGTTGCCTCGGTGCTTAGTTCTCATGGCCCTTTCACACACGCCCCGGGAAATGCTGACCGCCACTTCGGGGTCAGGGAGCCATTTTTCTCCAGGCCGGTTTGGCTGGAGATCCTGGAGGTTTTTTGCCATCTTCTGGGCATGGAACAGGGGTCACTGGGGGTGTCGGGGGGTGTTGTTGTGGATTCCTTGCCTTATGGAGGGGGCTGGACTAGATGACCCTGGGGGATCCCTTCCAACTGTGATTCTATGGTTTGGGCCACACTTAGACAGTACGTGGCCTGGCGCCATCCGCGGCAAAAGCGATTCCAGCCCCACCTCAAACAGGTGCTGGAGCTGGCTGCTGAAAGGGGGGCTATAAATAGAGTCCGAGGGCAGAGGCGATGTTCCCCAGCTGCCGCTTGGAGCAGGAGAGCCGGCCTTCGGCTGGGTCCCACGGCTGGTCTGTCTTGGCTCATGGCCGGCCGTCTCCTGTGGGTGGGAGCAGTGGGCCTCCTGGGTCCCAGGCAGAGAAGGGCCTTTCCCAGCACCTGTTCCCAGACATCCTTCAATCAGACGAGGGGGCCTGCTCCACGACTGAGCCCCATCCCTTCCCCAAACGCAGCGTGCCCAACAGTCGGCTGTTGGACAAAGGAAGCTGGGCAGCAGCAGCTCTTCAAAGTTTCCGGGGAAGAGAAAGGTCTTCTCTAATGTCTGCTGTTGCTGGAGAGGTGCAGCAGGCTGGGCCTGAGACCGCCTACTGCATGTCAAGGAAGGACTCTACCGCTCAGCCCCAGCTCTGTTCCTTGCTCGGCCTTCCTGAGCTGATGCTGCCAAAGGGAACATTCTGAAAATCTCTTTGGAGATGGGGGAAGTCGTATCATAGAATCACAGAATCACAGAGTGGGAAGGGGCCTTAGAGGCCATCTAGTCCAACCCCCTGCCCAGTGCAGGACCAGCCTACAGCATCCCTGACGAATATTCCTCCAGCCTCTTCTTGAGAGCTGCCAGTGAAGGGGAACTCACCACTTCCCTAGGCAGTTGATTCCACCTCTGAGCCACGCTGACCGTGAAAATGTTTTTCCTAATATCCAGCCGATACCTTCCCACCCTTCGGTGTCGTGGTTAAGTGGACTCTAATCTGGGAGAACCGGTTTTGATTCCCCACTCCTTCACATGCAGGCAGCTGGTGTGACCTTGGGTCAGTCACAAGTTCTCTCAGAGCTGTTCTCTCAAGGGCAGTTCTGGAAAGAGCTCTCTCAGCCCCGCCTACCTCACAGGCTCCTGAGAGAACAGCTCTGAGAGAACTTGTGACTGACCCAAGGTCACACCAGCAGCTGCAAGTGGAGGAGTGGGGAATCAAAACCGGTTCTCCCAGATTAGAGTCCGCACTCCTAACCACTACACCAAACTGGTATTAACCAGGACACCAGATTGGCACTACACCAGACTGGCAAGTTGCAGCACTCTCAGCCTAAAAAACAAACCTAGCTCACCACTAGTGGTGACAAAGAGAAAAAGAGCTACAGCTTCGGCAGCCAGATCCTCTGGGATCTCCTGGCTATTCCACACACAAGGCCACGTGGTAATTCCAATTTCACCCTGGAATGCAGTGTTCCCTCTAAGATGAGTTAGTGTGAGCTAGCTCACAATTTTTGAGCCTCCGACTCACACATTTTTGTCTCAGCTCGGGAAGAACGGCTCCAGAGCAAACTGATTTATGCGGTAGACAAATCGCTCACTCACAACTTTAATGCCGGTAGCTCACTGTTATGTATTGAGCCTAAGCCTTTCCTCAAGCTGTACCCAGAACGGGCTGAGCTTGCTTCTCTAGAACAATAGCTCACCTGGATCCAGGAACTAACCAATAGATAAGCGGTGTAATGTAAATAGTCTATCCCTGGGAGTGGGTGTGTGTTGGGTGTGGTGTTTGCATGCTTTATAAGCAGGGCTCAAGCCCTGCTAGGGTGTCTTGTATGTAGGGAGCCAGTTTGGTGTAGTGGTTAAGTGCGTGGACTCTAATCTGGGAGACCCGGGTTTGATTCCCCACTCCTCCACTTGCACCTGGCTGGATGACCTTGGGCGAGCCGTAGTTCTGATAAGAGCTGTCCTTGAAAAGGAGCAGTTTCTGTCAAGAGCTCTCTCAGCCCCACCTACCTCCCAGGGTGTCTGTTGTGGGGAGGGGAAGGGAAAGGAATTTGTAAGCCGCTCTGAGACACCTTTGGGTAGTGAAGGGCGGAGGATAAATCCAATCTCTTCTTCTCTTCTTCTTGTAGTTTGCTGAAATTGCTTAATAAACCTGAGCTGATCATTACAATGCGTCTAGAACCCAGTACTGAACACTCACAAAGTAGAATTTTTGCTCACAAAACTCCATAGCTTAGAGGGAGCATTGCCTGGAAGTCTGGTTGGTCTCTTAAGTGCTGCTGGATTCGAATGTAGCCTTTCAGCTTTTGACTCTGGCTCAGGGCAGGGTAAGACCTCTCTGGAGTCGAATGACCTTCTGCCACCTCTGCCGTGGACCTCAGACCCAGGACTGCTGCCAGTCCCACCGACACCGGGGGACGGAGTGAACCAGAGCCCGTCCTGCCCTGCCTTTCCTGTTTCCCTGGACGCCTTTTCCTGGCACTTCCAGCTGTGCACCATGTGAGGAGGAAGAAGAGACTGGATTTATACCCCGCCCTTCACTACCCAGAGGAGTCTCAGAGCGGCTTACAACCTCCTCTCCCTCTCCCTCCCCACAACAGACCCCCTGTGAGGTCGGTGGGGCTGAGAGAATTCTCTCGAGAACTGCCCTTCAGAGAACAGCTCTGAGAGAACTTGTGACTGACCCAAGGTCACCCAGCTGGCTGCATGTGGTGGAGAGGGGAATCAAAACCGGTTCTCCCAGATTAGAGCCCGCACACTTAACCACTACACCAAAAGGCCGCTTTGCAATGAGGCCTCGAGGTGTCTGGTGGGATCGTGTTTCCCGTGGCTCCCTTTCACTTCCCGGCCCTGCGGCCTGGTCCAGCAGGCAGGTTCTGACCGGGGGATTTCCCACTGGATTTCCCTAGGCTCCACTCCCCAAATCTCCAGGAGGTTCCCAGCCCACAGTTGGGAAGCCTCAGGGCCTGCGCTTCAGGCCCCAGCCGGACCCCAGACGTTTCTGTAGAGCTGCCGCTGCTGTAAGACTCCTTCACGGGCAAACTCACTTTTACACATTAGGAGCCATTCGACCGGGCACCTGGACTGGTTTATTTCAAATCCTCCTCGCCCCCTGCAAATGTCACGTCTTTGGGTCTTGGGGCAGGGCCCAAGTGGGGAACGGGCAGGGAGCCCCCTCCCCTCCCCCTCTCAGAGTGGGGCCAGGAACTCAATTAAAAGCCGCCGGAGCCCTGCCTCGCCCGGGATTTGGGACGCCTGCCTGCATCGATTGCTTGCCTGGCATTTTGCAGTCTGCGAATAGACGCAGCGGAGATCTGAATTCCCAGTGGCTTCCGTCTGCTGCCAAAGGTCTACCCCCAAAAGCAGTGTTCCCTCTAAGCTGAGTTGGTGTGAGCTAGCTCACAGTTTTTTAGCCTCCGGCTCACCCATTTTTGTCTTGGCTCAGGAAGGATGGCTCCGGGGCAAACTAATTTATGCAGTAGCTAAATCGCTTGCTCACAACTTTAATACCGGTAGCTCACAAGGTAGAATCTTTGCTCACAAGACTCCACAGCTTAGAGGAAACATTGCCCCCAAAGTCCCCTCTGAGATTCTAGGGCCCTCCTTCCCTTTGCGTCTCCCAGAGCTGCACACTCATCCTGCTTCTTCTTACCTTCAAAGACGACGGAGCAATAAGCATCACTGACGTCTGTGTCTGGAGTCTGGACGTTCTGCGCGTGGAGAACGAACACCCGCAACATGCTGCCCGGCTGGCTCCGGAGGAACAGCCCTCCCCTGCCTCCAGCCCGGTTCTCTGGACTTCGGAGAGTCCGGCAGGCCAGGCCCGTCTCCCCTCCAGCTCCCAAAACCAGCTGAGCCGGGCTTGGCACATTGCTCCGGTGACAGGCGAGCTGCTCTTAAAGGGGAACCAACCTGCGGCTCTTCGGGGGGTTCGGGATGATATCAAAAGGAGGGCCCGTTATTGCACCTGCAAAGGCAGACCTTGGGGCACTAATGCACCAGGGCAGGCTCAGACCCTCCAGGGGCTGAATTCTAACAAGCCTGCTCTCTGAAAGGTATATTCAGCTGGGTCGCCGTGTTGGTCTGAAGCAGCAAAGGGTGAGTCCAGTGGCACCTTTAAGACCAACAAAGCTTAATTCCGGATATAGGCTTTCACGGGCATGCACACTTCTTCAGATACATTGGGACAAGAATTCCTCAACCATTACATATAGGTAGAGAGAGGGTGGGGGGGGGTTAGAATCATAGCGCTGGAAGGGACCTCCAGGGTCATCTAGTCTGACCCCCTGTACAATGCCAGCAATGCCGGGTTACATAAGAACATAAGAGACGCCAATGTTGGATCAGGCCAAAGGTCCATCCAGTCCAACACTCTGTATCACACAGTGGCCAGAAATACCAGGTGCCATCAGGAGGTCCAGCAGTGGGGCCAGGACACCAGAAGCCCTCCCACTGTTGACCCCCCCAAGCACCAAGAAGATAGAGCATCACTTGCCCCAGACCCCCTATCTATACCTTGTGGCTAATAGCCACTGATGGACCTCTGCTCCATATGCTTATCCAATTCCCTTTTGAAGCCGTCCATGCTTGTAGCCGCCACCCCCTCCTGTGGCAGTGAATTCCATGTGTTAATCACTCTTTGGGTGCAGAAGTACTTCCTTTTATCCGTTCTCACCCGACCGCTCAGCAATTTCATGGAGTGCCCACAAGGAGTTCTTGTATTGTGAGAAAGGGAGAAAAGGACCTCTTTCTCTACCTGCTCTTTCCCATGCATAATCTTATAAACCTCGATCATGTGTCTTGTATGTAGGCTGTTTTGTATGTAGGGAGCCAGTTTGGTGTAGTGGTTATGTGTGCGGACTCTAATCTGGGAAAACCGGGTTTGATTCCCCACTCCTCCACTGGCACCTGGCTGGATGACCTTGGGCAAGCCATAGTTCTGATAAGAGCTGTTCTTGAGAAAGATCTGAACTTCATTTGTCATGTTTTGCTCACTCACCTGATTTGGAGAGGCTCTCCAGGGGCTCACAGTTAGCCTTGGTTTTCACCATCCTGAATAATTTGTATCATCTGCAAATTTGGCCACTACATTGCTCACCCCTAGTTCCAGGGAGCCAGTTTGGTGTAGTGGTTAAGTGCATGGACTCTAATCTGGGAGAACCCGGTTTGATTCCCCACTCCTCCACTTGCAGCTGCTGGTGTGACCTTGGGTCAGTTACAAGTTCTCTCGGAGCTGTTCTCTCACGAGCAGTCCCCAAAAGAGCTCTCTCAGCCCCACCGACCTCACAGGGTTCCTGTTGTGGGGAGGGGAAGGGAAAGGAGTTTGTGAGCCGCTCTGAGACTCCCTTGGGTAGTGAAGGGTGGGCTATAAATCCAATCTCTTCTTCTTCTACCTGTCAACTTCATTTGGTACTCTTGGGTTCTAGCATTATGGGAGGCTGGGGGAATTCTCTCTATCCACTTTCCCCACCGCATGGATCATTTCAGAAACCCCGACTGTGTCCCTCCCTTTGGCCATCTTTCTTTCTAAACTGAAAAGCCCCGGAACTCTTTGAGACTTTTATTCTAAGGGAAACTGTTCCACCCCCTTCATGATCTTGGGCGCCCTCTTGTGGGAAGATGGGGGAAAGTTCTGCCAGTATTTCAAAGGAGACACCATCAGATTACTTGGGGTGTATAATGAATAAACTCAAGTACAGCCCTGAGATCTTGGTCCCTCTCAATCTCAGCCAATTCAGACTCCATCACCGGGCCTTTAAGTTAGGGAACCCCCCCCACCACCACAATATGCATCCTTACAGACACTGAACTCCATTTGTTAAATTTTTCTCACTCACCTGATTTGGAGAGACTCTCCAGGGGCTCAGTTAGCCTTGGTTTTCACCATCCTAAATAATTTGTATCATCTGCAAATCTGGCCACTACACTGCTCACCCCTATTTCCAGAGAGCCAGTTTGGTGTCGTGGTTAAGTGCACGGACTCGAATCTGGGAGAACCGGGTTTGATTCCCCACTCCTCCACATGCAGCTGCTGGTGTGACTTTGGGTCAGTTACAAGTTCTCTTGGAGCTGTTCTCTCACGAGCAGTCCCCAAAAGAGCTCTCTCAGCCCCACCTACCTCACAGGGTGCCTGTTGTGGGAAGGGGAGAGGAGGTTGTAAGTCGCTCTGAGACTCCTTTGGGTAGTGAAGGGCAGGGGTATAAATCCAATCTCTTCTTCTTCTTCAGATCATTCATGAACACATTGTGGAACCCCCATTACTCACTGATCTCCATTGTAAAAACTGTCAGTTTGTCACTACACTCTGCTTCCTGCAAATGAACCAAATTTGAACCTTTCCTCTTACCCCATGACTGCTAAGTATATTCAGGTGTATCTGGAGAGGTATCTTGTCAAAAGCCTTTTGGAAGTCTAGGCTTGTGACGTCTACCAGAATAGTCTCTTATCCACATGCCTGTAAACCTTCTCAAAGAACAGCAAAAGGTTGGTGAGGCAGGACTTCCGAATACCAACATCAGGGGAAGGCTTTGGCCTCTCTGTCCTGTCGGTTGGCCCTTATCAGCAGTAGCTGGCTGTGGTGTGGAACAGGATGCTGGACTAGATGGACCACTGGTCTGATCCAGCAGGGCTCTGCTTATGTTCTTACAACTTCTCTTTGGAGAAGCAATGCTGGTTTCCCCTTCCTTTTTTTTTTTTTGAATAATCTTTTTATTAGTTTTCACAAAGAAAATAATAATCAATCTTACATATTTAAACACATCAAGAAAAATATATCGTACTGGCAATGTTAAGTTAATTCATCTTTCTATTATGGTTTCCCCTTCCTTGATAGACTTAATCGTTCTTTCCTTAATAATGTTTTTATTCATTAACCAAGAGTAGAGCCAGCGAAGGAGCCTCCACCACCTCCCGAGGCAGTCTGTTCCACTGCTCAACCACTCTTACAGTTAGGACGTTTCTCCTGATATTTAGTATCGGTATCGACTCCCTTGTGATTCCCACCCATTAGATCTAGTCTTGTAATCCGGAGCAAGAGAGAATCCAGTCGAGGAACTCCAGCATCACGTGTAGTTTAATCCTTATTGAGGTCCAAGAACAAAGCCACTTTAATATCTTTTAAATATACCAACCACGTCGTCCCGTGGAAGCACCCACACGCACTTTCCACACATTTCCCAATAATTTAGAGCGGGCATGCTCGTGCAGCCCAAACATAACCACCGTGCTTTCCACGTTCTCATCCTTGGACACTGAAATAATGAAACTACTTGAATGTGTGTAAAGACTGATTCACAATGAGATACACAAACACTGTTCGGAGTTCCAGCGGGTCAGCTGCGTTGGTCTGAAGCGGTAGAACAAATTTTGAGTCCAGTGGCCCCTTTAAGACCAACAAAGTTTCATTCAAGGTACGAGCTTTTGTGTGCAAGGCACACAATTCTGAGTTGCCAGTGCAGGCTTGATGCTGAAGAAGAAGAGGAGGAGATTGGATTTATACCCCACCCTCCACTACCCAAAGGTGTCTCAGAGCGGCTTACAAACTCCTTTCCCTTCCCCTCCCCACCACAGACACCCTGGGAGGTCGGTGGGGCTGAGAGAGCTCTGGCAGAAACGGCTCTTTTTCAAGGACAGCTCTGACAGGACTATGGCTTGCCCAAGGTCATCCAGCAGGTGCAAGTGGAGGAGTGGGGAATCAAACCCGGTTCTCCCAGATTAGAGTCCGCGCACTTCACCACAACACCAAACTGGCTCGTGCTGAGACACGAGAGCGTTTTCACTGGGGAAAGATTCTGCCGCACATCGATGCATTCTGGCCCTTGGAAAGATGAATGAATCTATGCCACTTCTTTTTTAGCTATTAAAACCATGCATTAGCTGCATTTCTTCCTTATGGGGCTCGAGGCAGCGGGCAGTATAGGAAGAGCTGCACAACAGAGAAACGGGTCCTGCCTGATGTATCAGGGGACTCCCCGTGGTGTCTGTGGCCCAGTAATCAGCATGAGGACTTCAAACAAAGACTCCTTTAATTAGACCATAATCGGGTGCCAGGAACCTCGGTTTGGGGACAGGACTTTTGGGGACAAAGTAGGCTTTTATCTAGTCCACAAAAGCGTACGCTTAGAATAAAACAACTTGTTCGTCTTTAAAAGGCTACAGATCTCACACACAAAGCTGCCTTCTACTGAATCAGACCCTTGGTCCATTCAAGGCGGTATCGTCCACTTGGACTGGCAGCAGCTCTCCAGGGTCTGATATCGTCCACTTGGACTGGATGGGCCATTGGCCTGACCCAACATGGCTTCTGTGATGTTCTTAAGAGCAGAGGTCCATCAGTGGCTCTTAGTCACAAGGTATAGATAGGAACTCTCGGTGTGGGGCAAGGGATGCTCTATATCCTTGGTGCTGGGGGGGGGGGCAACAGTGGGAGGGCTTCTAGTGTCCTGGCCCCACTGGTGGACCTCCTGATGGCCCCTGGTATTTCTGGCCACTGGGTGACAGACAAGAGTCTTGGACTGGATGGGCCACTGGCCTGATCCAACATTGGCTTCTCTTATGTTCTTATGTTCTCATGTCCATAAGGTTTGTGGCAGGGTAGGAGCTTTTGAGAGTCACTGCTCACTTCTTGAGATCTGAAGAAGTGAGCCGTGACTCACAAAAGCTCTTACCCTGCCGCAAATTGTGTTCATCTTTAAGTGCTGCTGGACTCCCACGCAAGAGACAGGATGCCCCCTCATCACTGCACTACGAGTGCCAGTCAGAACTAAAACTACACCACTTGGAACTAGCAGCAAAGCCAACTCCCGGCCTGTTGCTGGGGCTGCTGGGAAATGTAGTCTTGTTTGAAATAGAAGGCAGAGGCATTCATAGGCTATATAGACGCTTACTTACACTTTGGAAATCCAGCAACGCCTTAGGCTGACAGTGTTTATTCCAGCCTGAGCTTTCACGAGGCAGAGGCTCACATCCTCAGGTGCAGAACAAAGTTTAGGTCCAGTGGTACCTTTAAGACCAACAAAGTGTGATGCACCGAAAGAAAGGAAACCATTTCCCTCATTTCATGCAGAGAATTACAGAAGGGGGTGGGGAAAAGAGGGAACCCAGGGACGCCTGGGACCATACATGAGGTGTGGTTCTCTGTGTCAGAGACGTGACCAGTCTATGCGTCATGGATGACGACAGAGATCCCAGCCCCTCTCGGACGGAGGTGAAGACGAACAAAAGAACCACCAAGTGAGGTAAACGAGAAAGTGATTGTTTTAATGAGACAGAACTTCCAACCTTAATTTCAAGTATGCCCCTAAAATGCCCCCCCCCCCATTATTTCACAAAATAATTTCTTACCAGGGTCAGAGGTCCCCTCCCCAGAGCCTACAGAACAGCAGCTGGGACTGCAGCAGCTACGGAGTCTTCAGCTTCTGAGGGGCTGAAAACGTTGCCTTTGGAACTCCCTCCCCCCCCCCCAACACACACACACAACCCTCTCCGGCCGTTCCGGTGATTTTTCTGCTTTTGCCAGGAGGCGAGGGGGCTGACTTCCAGCTAAGCGTGTGAGGTTTGGGTTGGGAAGGGGGTCCCCCTTCGCTGGCCTCGTCTCCTCTCTCCGCACTCTTTCTTGTCAAGCCCATTCAGCCCTGCCACTGGCCTTCCAGGGCAGAGGCCTGCCGGGAATTGCCCCAGGGAGCTTCACGGCCAGCCTGCCCCTTGGGGGGGGTGGAGGCAGCGGGGGGGG